CAGATTTCCTGAACTCAGAGCTTCTTTCTCTGTCATTTAGCTCCTTCTCCACATTGCTCCATCTTGGATAGAGATGTTCCATGGGTCACAAACAGGACACATGGAAAGGGTGAAAGAATAAAGAGGGATTAAGGGGGTTAAAAAAATAGAAAGAAAAAAAAACCAAAACATTGAAACTAAGGCATTAGCATAATTGTTCTTCCAAATCCAGTTAGCCACCAAATCTAAAGGATTCTATCATTATTATATTTTCTTAAATGCTCCCTCCTGTCCATTCCCACTGTCATTACCTTGGATCAGGCTCTCATTCTTTTCACTTATTTCTGTGATAGAACATTGACCCCTGTGTTACTCAGGCCAACTCATATTCCTTCTGTTGTCAGACCAGTCTTCTTTAAGTATAAAACTGGATCTGGTCACTCCTCTATCTAATACTCTTGAACAGCTCCCTTATAAAATGTGTGGCATTTAGTACATGGTCTTATGCTGGTAGATCTATACAATGGGATGCTCAGATGGTTTCCATTCTGTGGCGTGGACAAGACAGGCATTCCCAGTACACTGGACCTTTTCTTTCTTCGTGCCAAACACTAGTGGGTTGTGGTATGGTGGCGGAGAATTGCTGCTCCAGCTCATGGGATCAAATGAATAAATCATATTTCATGTTAAGGAGGGTGACTGATACCAGAACTGTACTAGGAATTGTGCTAAACGCTTTGCATGCCATACTTTATTCAGTCCTCATGACCAAGCTTTGAAAATGGTGCCATCATCCTTATTTTATACATACAGAAACTGAGATTCAGGGTATTATTTAAACTTCCCAGTCAGTAAGTGGCACAGTTTGAAGTTAGACACAGACAGGAAATCACCAGAACACACACTCTCAACCACTGTTATATAATTCCATGTCCTAATTGTTTTCTTCTTTTCTTAGAGACAAAAGTTAATGAGTAAAAATCACACTGGGATTTTAAGCTATATAATCATATCTGTTTGTCCAAATTCACAGAAACTATTCCCAGTTTGTTTTTTTTTCCTAAATGCAAGGTTATTTGGCCTGAATTAAGGTAGCTATCACTAGACCCTTGAAAACTTTGTGTTATACTGAAATACCACTTAAAAATGCCTGTAATAACAGGATCTAAAATTCAGCCATGACCTAGCCAAGGATCAGGTTCTCAAAGCCTCTTGATTGGTTTGCATCATTCTGAAAGAATCTGGAGTTAATGCTCCTGCCCCATCCTCCCGCCCACCCTCCCAGACCAATCTCACCAGCCCTTTGAGATTTTGCTAAAAGCCCAACACGCTGTCTTCCAGGAGCATTATCATATGGTCTTAGTAACAAGAACCAAATAAAAATGGACACATTACACAGCCCGGGTTCCTCCAACAGTGATTGGAAATAGATCAAAAGAGCTAAGGCACTAACTCAACCAGCCATTCCATCATCAGCTTGTCTCAGGGTAGTAATAAACTTCTTGGTCTGCTAAATTTATGGAGTAGAAGTGCAAGCATGGCCTCCCAGCGGTACCCATGGCTTTGATCAGGTCAATAACAGTGGTCAGGAGGTCTGCATGCTGACCATTGTAAGCACCAACGTGGACTCTCACCAATGTGCTGTCATTAGCAATTGCTTCCACATTAGTTTCTTAGCTGGAAAGATAAATCAGGCTGCCTAAGGAAGGGATTTTATATGAGAGTGCATGAGAATGTTTCCTATGTAGAAGTGTAAGATTAAGGGTTTAACTCCAAAATATTCTCTACATTTATACACTCCACTAGCTTAGCCAGCAATTCGGGACCATGAAAGAGCTAGCATGGTACAGCCATGAGTCACCTTCTCATCTGACTGAAGGTATGACCTCTACCTTTGCAAGGGAAATTGTGCCCTGTGCTGCAATGGGAAAAAAACTTTCATATTATATGATTTATGCAATTAATAAGCTTAGATGTGCTAGTTGCACTCTGTGTTTACAATTGATATAATATAATTGACTTTGTAGCAAATTTGAAAGGCAAGTTGTATTGGTCCTTGAAGGATCATGCTTGCTCTGCCACTGGACCTATGCAGGCACTATTTCATCTACCTTGGCCATTGTTGCTCTCTTCATGGTGTAGTTAACTCTTACTCTTCCTTCAAATGGCAATTCAGGAACATTTCCTCAGGGAAGCCTCCTCAGACCTTGCTGAGTAATTTCCATCTCTCATTTCCACCCCATATGGGTGCTCACTTCAGTGTAAATAAATATATTTGGTGACTCTTGGATTCATGTCTGTGTCTGTCTCTGAGCTGGTACCTCCATGAGGGTCAGAAACCTTGTGCTTTGGCTCACTGTTATACCCTCAGTACTGAGCACAGTCTTCAGCTGACAGGAGGAAAACAAGAGTTATTGTACCCAAGAATGTAATGAGAAAAAAATACTTTTAAAAACTAAGAAAGATATATATCTCTTTAAAATATGTGAAGAGAATTACTCATCTTAAATTCTGAAAGCATTCGTTTATTCGTTCATTTCTTTCAACAAATATTTTTCAGTGTTCCACTATTTTCCAGCTTTTCCTAAGACCTGGATCTATAATGGTAAATATAAATAATCTTAAAAAAAATCTCTTTCTCGTTTTCTTTTGTTCTCCGACAGAAATAACACTATGTATTTATTCAGTAAAAATAGAATGGTATAAATCCTTGCCCTCTATTTATATATCAGTGCTTGGTGGCAACTTTTATGTTTGTTGCCTCTAAGAGTATAGGAAATTAATGCTTGGAAAGGGATGTTTTACAATGCTCAAAACTCCAGAAACAATTTCCTTTGGAAGGAACTTCTGGCTTTATAATTGATTATCAGGATATGTGACTTCTAGATTTATTTTTACAAAAACATAAAGACATAAAATGAAAAAGGTCCACCTTCTTTGTAGACTAAGAATGATGTGTTTTAAATGGCTTTATTTTTTTAATGTTAGGTAGAAATTTCCTCTTTCATGGGATCAGATCCTTTGAAACCACTGCCAGACAGTGGTTGGTTATATTATAAGGAAAACAAACATGTGCTAGTGAAAAATGAGGTATTTAGGTATTCAATGTATATCTGTTTTTCTTGTATATGATGTGCTAGCATATCACAGAGAACTGTCTGGGTGTCGGTTGGGTGTCAGGAAAAACTTGGAATTCTCTCAGCAGCGTGTTGAGTAAAGGCCAAACATAATAAAGTGCACCTGGCTTGCTTTCCAGAGAGATCTAAGAAATTAATTTTTCTGCAAATTAGAACCAATTTGTATGGAACTCCTCTATATAAGCAAGTTAAGATTGACCATAGGTAGCTTTTACTCACATGATTTTTATTGGCCACTTGCTTGTTTAGGGGAAATAGAGAAACAGGGCAGCACATCTCTAATAAGAGTTCATTGAGTTTGCACACATTTAAACAAGAGCGAGATCTACCAATTGGCAGTATAGTAAAGTAATCATACATTCCAGCTTGGAACATTCACTCATGAACAAAAATAGCTCTACATAAGACCGTAAATATGAAACAGTTGTGTGCAGTTCAACCATAAGCCGCATCTGCTTAACATTTTAGTAAGACACATAGAATGGCATTCATTTCACATTTGTTCAACAGGTGGAACATTAATACTATAGCTTGAATGGCCTAGATCAGAGGATCTCACAGTGTGGCCCCTGAACCAGCAACATTAGCATCACATGAGAAATTGTTAGAAATGCAAATTCTAGACCCCATCCCAAACCTATTGAATCAGAAACACTAGGGGTAAGGTCCAGAGATCTTGTCTTAAATGCCCCTCCTAATGAGTGTTCCTAACTGTCTTCCAATGAGTACCCTTGAGAACGGGTACTGTCCTAGATTCAGGTAAATGGAGTTCAGCCCTAGCTCAGTGTGTCACTTTAATTCTTTGCTTCCCCCCTTTCTTCACTTCTAAATAAAGACGTATTAAACCACCTCTAGATTTATTAGGGATGCATGTAATAGAAAAAGCACAGTCAGACAGAGTTGGCTTCAACGTCTGAATTTCCCCCTCGTTACCACATGGCTTTGGGTTAACAATAATGAAAACTGATTTTATTGAGCATTTACTAGGTGCCAAACCCTATGCCAAGTGCATTATCTTTATCTCTGTCTCAGTTTGTCCTCATAAAAATACTCTAATATTGTCCCATTTTATAATTTAATTTCTGAGACGTAGAGAGGTTTTATAAATTGCATAACTGGAATTAATACATGTATTAAACTTACTCAAGAGCCCCACTCAGACTGTACTAGTTAGGAGTAATCCTTCTCTAGATACAAGACTTCTATAATCCTGAATAACATGGCATAATATGACCAACCTCATAGAAAATTAGTGAGTCAAATGGGAAGAGCTAGATATCTGACACACTGCAGCTACTCAAATACAAATTCCTCTCTTCTTTCCACTCTTCAAGCATAATATTCCATGATATTATATGAAATATGTATAAATTAAAAGGATGGTTAAGCAAAAATTTAGAAATTTTACCTCTATTTTATTTTTAGTTTTTGAAATATTTATTCTGCTACACTTTACAAATTCAGGTGTTCTTGAAGAGGCAGAAGGGATCTTATCCTTACTGACTGAGAGGATTGTGGGGGGCACACCCTAAGTTGGCTGCCAACGCTCCCTGTCTCCTGATATTATGCCCTCTCCTTGAGTGTGGGTGAGAATTCTGACTTGCTTCTAACCAATAGAATATGGCACAGTTGATGTGATATCACTTCTATGATTACATTATATAGAATTATACATTTTGGGACTTCCCTGGTGCTCCAGTGGTTAGGACTCCACATCCACTGCAACGGCACGGGGTTCGAACCCTGGTCAGGGAACTAAGATCCCGCGTGCTGCAAGGTTTGCCCAAAAATAAAAAATAAAATAAAATAAAATAAAAATATAAGATGCCCTTGTTACATTAAAAAAATTATACCTTTTATCTTTCTATCATACTCTCCCTATAGATGCTCTCCTTTAATGGCTGTTGATGGAGCAAGCTGCCATGCTGTCAACTTCCCGATATTGCAAAAAACTGAGAGTGGCGTTCAGCTGACAGCCAAGAAGGAACTGAGGCCCTTGGTCCCCCAACAGCCCACAAAGGACTGAATCCTGCCAACAATGACTTGGAAGCAGATTCTTCCTCAGCTGAGCTTTCAAATGATACCTCAAGCCTGACTGTCACCTTGATTGGAGTTTGGTGAGACATCCTGGAGCAGAAGATCCAGGTAAGCCATGCCCTGATTCTTTATTCACAGAAACAGTGATGGAATGCATGTGAGATATTTATCTTAAACCTCTAAGTTTGCTATGTAGCAATATATAATACAAAGATTAAATGGTTTCAACTCTAGGCCATTAAGTTCCTGTGTTTTGTGCTGCTTTCTCAAAGTGCTTGAAATCAGAATAAATTTAGATAAAAAGTTAATGACATTCTTTAGCACTAAAATAAAGACAGGGTTCTCTAGATATGGCAGGGAAAGCTTATAGAAGAATAGAGGCTGCTAAAAGGATAACCACAGAGCCAAGCAGGTGCTCTCCCAATAGAAATCTAATGAGCCTTTTCCTGGACTGCAATTTTTCACCTGTCCTCAAAGGTCTGGGTTAGGTATCCTCTCCTCTGGAAAGCTGTCCCAGGGAACTCCATTCTGAAGTGACCCTCTTCTGTGCTCCCACATAACCTGACTCTACTTCTTTGATTGTATTCCCATCTCCCTCATTTCATCCACTGGGTACTGAGTAATTTATATTTGTCTCCTTTCTTAGGGTGCTCTTCCAGCTCTCCTCTTGCCCCTCTCTAACTTCATTCTTCATGTGAAATTCCATATATTCCCAATTTGTGATTACCATATGTAAACTAAAGAAAAAAGGTGGAATATATTGGCTCTTTCAATGAAACAGTCCAATAAGGGGTGCTGCTGTGAGTGACAGCTAGTTCCAGTTGATCGTTGTGGTGATCAACCTCATTGTTCTTGTTTCTTCCTCATCTTTCTCCCATTTGTTCTCCTCCCCCTTTATCAACTTTTTTTCTTCTCCTTCTTGCCCTCTCTCTCACTTTTTACCCCTACCCGGTTTCGCTTTCCTTTCTGCTGGCTTCCTCAAGAAAGGTTTCCCATGGAGCTCAATGATGTTTCCATTAACTCAGTGCTTACTGCATCCTTCCAGCTAAGCTTATCTTGCCTAGCATTCTAAACTATCCTATAAGGGGTTTGCTGTGTCCCTAGTTATATTGTGGGACCACTCCTCAGTGAATCATTTTGGCCAGTCTTGGTAAAGCCTCTACATTGGTCACTTTGAGTCACGTGACTGATTAGCTCACCAGAATTACAAAGAGTGATATAAAGGAAATTTCAAAATGGAAACATTTCGGGACAGACTGAAAAGTAGCAGATGACCATTAAGCACTACTTTTTACTTTTTACATAAGTGAAAACCCCTCCAGTTCCCAGTTCAGCCTCATCTCCCCTTTGACATCTCCTGTGTGCTCATGTCCCTACATCCTCTGGCTTTCAGTGTTTATGAAATAATCTGCCCCCATCCACTTAAGAATGTCGTGAGTTGTCTAGAACCTCATTCCATGGTAAACTAACCCCTTCCTCCCAGCTCTTTCAAAAAAATACATCTCCAATTATTTTAACTTTAAATGACTTTAAAAGCTTAGTTCCTTGAGCTGGACCCTAAAGATTCCATCTGATTCTCTCCAGTGGAGGGTGCTCACTCTTCCCATGCTATGTTACTGTACAGAATTACTTGTGATTTCCCACACGGCTCTCCACAGTCCTGTCTCTGCATGTGCCGCCTTCTCCTTCCAGACTGCCCTTTCTTGCCAGTCCTTCAAAGGCCAGCCAATGTTAGTATCCTCTCCTCTAGTAAACTGTCCCGGTAAACTCTGTTCTAAATTTCCAGACACTCTTTGGTGCTTCCATGTGACCTGACTTCCCTCTTTAGGCTGGTTGTGTTTCTGTCACCCTTTCAGAAGCAGTGAGCTTCAAGAGAACGGGCACTGTATCTTTTTTCTCCTTAGGCTTTAAAATTACCAGAGTGCATTGCCCATAGTAGGCATGCAAATGTTAGTTAGGTTAATGAATCCATAGTCACATTTAATCTGCACCATGACCCTGTGTGACTGATGATATATATATATATATATATATATATGTATAACATTTTATTCTATATTATAAAACAATACATACTACAAAAGATTTGGAAAATACATAATCATACAAAGTATAAGGTAAAATCAGCTTATACTCTTACTGTGCAGAGATAATCACTGTTATCATTTTGGTGCATTTCTTTCTAACCATTCTGTTTGCATTAGAAAAGAAAAAAAGATTGCAGTTATGTATTGTACATTTCCCAGGCTTGTTTTCCATCACTCTCCCTTATGCAGTACAGGGTCCAACCTCAACCTTCTTCTGCTTCCATCCTTTTGAAAACGCTCGTCCTCCTGTATAATGCACTCACTCTTCCTCCGCTTGCAGCACATTCCTCTGGGCTCTCTCAGTCAATAACTCGATTTCTATTCCCTTTGTGACTTTTTCTCTGAGACCCTCAAGTTGAGTTATTTATTACTTCCCTGTGCTAGTCCACTACCTAGCACATGTATCTCTTGTAACATTTAGACCTTTTAAGTATGTGCTCATTGGATGTTTTACCCATTCAACACAGCACCTCACCTTTGCCTCTTCTCCCACTCTGTTCCTTCTTGGCCCTTCCCACCCTCATTCTTCACTTGTAATTTGACATACGTTATACAATCAGTATGTGATTACAAACTGAATGAACCATGCCATGAGCTTTTAGTCCTGTATCTGATACAGATGAGCAAAGAGAGGCATATGTAAGTTACATCAATTGCCCAAGGACACACTGGTAGCTGCTTTCATTTTCTGGAAGGAGAAAAAAAATCAATAGTCTGCAGTGTCTTTCAAATAAATTAAACACACATGAACCAGTTTTACATCTAGAGTGGGTATTTGCAATATTGATGCTTCAAAATGAAATTGAGTGTTACCCATCACCAGAATGTCTTAACACCAATGAGTTAATACTTCCATCAACCATGAGCGGCAGCTGAAAATTCCCTGAAAATTGGCTTTATTTCAGTGGCAGCTCTTCCAGGCACCAACTCCTTTCATAACATAGAGGCCATGCAGAGTGGGTTGTATCACTGGCCAGGTGTGCTAGTCTGCTTAAGACTGACAAAGGGGCAAAGGAGAAGAGAGCTCTTGTCTGACAGAAATTTTGTTTAAATTGTTCCTCTCTCCCTCCTCCTCCCCCTCCTCCTGACTTCTCATTGCTGAACGGTGATTGTGCCATCTTCTCCTTGAGGAAGACAGGGAAATAAAAGCACTCACTTGTGTAGATAAAGAGCATGTGCTCCCCAAAGTCATTCCAGCAATGCACAATAGAGCTTGCTGCAAACACAAGACCAACGTGATCCATCGACAAAGAACATCGTCCAGATGCTGCCTTCTGTGCTTTTGGGTTGTTTTCTTGTTTGTTCATTTGAGAAAATGACACTGCAATATAGAAAAACAAGAGGTACATGGGTTTTGCTCACCCAGTGATAACCAATGTATAATTGTAAATGAATTTCCCTGAAAGCAACTGGAGAGAGATTATACAGTTGTGGGAGGAGAGAGAAGGCACACACTGACAGAGCCCATTATTAGAACCTGAGGGCTCAATGCTGCATTTCCTATTCTGACAGGGTATCATTTTAACCAATTAGCAGAAGTAAACTCCTTGGAATGATCTGTAGTGTCAATCCAGGTCATCTGTTAACTCTGTCAATGATGTTTATTGTCTGCTGTAAACACAGGTGGGAATGTCCAGGAGCACTCCATTAATACGGTCACTTAGTGCTACTGTAGTTGTTCCCAACTATGGGTCCAAGAGAGTTCTTTCAGATTGTGCTTCAAAGGGATCTGGCTAAACCCAGCAATATTCCCCTCCTACCCCTGACATGCAACATAAAAGGAAATGAGTGACAAAAATGGCAATTCAAAATCGCCATGGTTAGTTTCTCTAACTAGTACCTAGGAGCTAGGAATGATATACTAGTGTTTTTCAAATTTTGGATTGCCAAACCCATACCCCTTATTTCTGAATCTAATACTTTTCCAATGATGCAGATGTTGCTGGTTCAGGACCCCATCTTGAGAAACACTGCTCTATATCATTTCCCATAAAACATTTCTACAACATGTGAACAGTGACAGCAAATGTTACCTTGCTCATAGACTTCCCTTTCCATCATTTTTTTTCATCAGTAATTGGAACATCATGCAGGGAAATAAAACTTAAGTATAATATTTTCCTAGTTAGCTCACCCATTCCTAGACAGAACTTCTCAGGACTCAGTAAAAAATTATATGGTTTAATTATAGTTAGCAAGGTAGACTGAGCATTGTTACATTCGTTTGCTTACATGACCATTTATTTGTTTATTCAATACATAGTCTTATATTTGTCATAGTCAGATTCTGTGCTATGGACTGAGGAGACAAAGATGAGAAAGGCATAAACAGTGCTGTTAGGGGATCAAAATCCAGAGGGGAAATCAAGCAAATATGAAACTATCAGCTATGATTGCACAATGGTGGCAGCAAGTACAAAGGAGGAGCTCTACTTCCAACCAGGCTGGAAATACTTCAAGAGTAGCTGATGTCTGTGCTGTCTTGGAGGGGATGGAAGCCTGTGAATCTGATGGATACAGTGCTTGGTTCCCAGAAGGATGATAATGCTAGAGATGAAGGAGTTTTGCTTTTTTTGTTTTTTTTTAACAAGGGCCCTGCTGTGGTGCTAATGAAGAGGTTAAGAGCACCTGCCTTAGGGATCGGCCTTCTGAGTTCGAACCTTGACTTGCTCACTTGATACCTGCGTGACTTTAGTGAGTCACTCAATTTCCCTGAGTCCCATTTTTTAAATTTGTAATATGTGGATAATAATAATGCTTGGATTGTGTTGAGGATCAAATTCAAGATAAGGCATTTA